GATGGCGAGCGAGTAACATGTTACACAGAAAAAAACCTAAGAATATGTTACACGTGGACAAGCCCCTGATTACCCCCTTGCTCCTTCTCTCTCTCTCCCGGTCACCGGAGACTTCACATTCTCACACCTCCGTAATCACCGTCACCGTTCCGTTTCGCGACGGGCTTGGTGGCACTACGAACCATGAGCGCGGTGTGGCTGAGCGGGGTGATGTCTTGAAACGCACCAGGCCGCCCGTCCCCTGATCCCACAGCTCAGTGGGGACATTTGCACGGTAGGATGGGGATGAATCTTGATTTGAAGCTTTCGTGACTTGCAGGAATCCATACTCTTTGGTTCTTTCGGTAAAGTCACGTGTGTAGAAATAAAATAATAATGTAAAACAAATCACAAAGTTTCGATCGCAACACGAACAAATGCTGAAGCATTTTTGCCTTGCTGTGGTTGTCCCACCTGATGATGATTGTTTGTGTTGCGATCGAAACGTCGTGATTTGTTTTATTTTATTTTATTATTTTATTTCTACCTACGCGACTTTACCGAAAGAACCAACGAGTATGGATGAGGATGTTTTAGTTTTGTGTTTGTATGTGTTTACCTTCTTGTACTTTGCACTTACTACCGTGTTTTTGTTACTTTCTGACCCCGTGGACATCTGTGGAGGGCGGAAAGAGCTTTAGAGCTCATCGGATTCCTCCTGCAGTAGAAATAAACAATCGGATCCACTGGCCAGAGCGGTGAGGCCGCAAGTCCAGCAGTGGATTGGCGCGGTGCAAAATAAATCGAGCGAATCAACGGCAGCTAACTTGACCTGGCGACGGTCGAACCAGGCAGGAGAGAGGTTCAACACCTGCTGACGCATCGCTCGCCCACTGTTGTGCACTGCGTGGCAGAGGTCGCAACCGGGTACCCGATACCCGTACCCTACCCGATACCCGGCTACCCGTACCCGGCCGGGTACGGCCCGTACGGGTACGGGTACCCGTTTGCGACCCTGGTGCGGTCGGGTACGGGTACGGGTAGGCCGTGAGTCACTGGTGAGTAACCGTTTGTCACTCATTTCCCAACGTCTTGTCTCTTCTCACAATTCAAGTGCCTAGAATCAACCCACCCGCGCCTGCAACATGGCTTCATCCCAGAGGTCGCAATCAGGTACCCTGTCGGGTACGGGTACCCGTTTGCGACCCTGGTGCGGCCGGGTACGGGTAAGGAATCAAAACGCGTTTGCGACCTCTGGTGCATGGACATCAGCGTGGGGAGACAAAGGCGGCCGGGCGTCGGTCCTGGCCACCAGCCCGCTTTTGGTGCTACTCGCTCACAGCACTTGGCCCCAACAGTCTGTTGAAGGCTACACGGGGGATCTTTGTCTTTGTGTGTGTGTATGTTGTTTGACTGTGTGTGTGCGCGTGTGTGTGGTCGTGCCACACACACACACAGGGGTACGGTGGTGCAGTGGTTAGCGCGCTGCGCTACGAACCCGGGGACACGAGTTCGATTCCCGCTCACGGCAAACACCGGTGACGATTGTCTGAACCGGTCCTGGGCCTCCCCTAGGTCGACTCAGCCTCAAATGAGTACCTGGTGCTATGTCAAAAAAAAACATTGCCACTAGGGACACAAAGGCGGCCGGGCGTGGTGTTGGCCACCCACCCTTTCGTGTGCCGTGCCGGCCTTCATAGGCGCTCGCTAACAGCACTTGTCCCTACAGTTTGTTAAGGCTATACGGGGGATCTTTGTCTTTGTAGAGGTTCACACGTGCTACCACCACCAAGTGACGATTGTCTGAACCGGTCCTGGGCCTCCCCTAGGTCGACTCAGCCTCAAATGAGTATCTGGTGCTATGTTTGTTAAGGCTATACGGGGGATCTATTTTTCGTGCCGCGCTACGAACCCGGCCACCCGAGTTCGATTCCCGCTCACGGCCAACACAAAACCGCGTCAACCCACACGCTTTACCCCGTATTCTTCTTGCACAGGGAAATTGACTTTTCAGGTCCATACGGCGCACAGCCGTTTTAATACGGGCACAATAACAATAATAATGTTGTCTATCTGTCTGTGTTTCTCCCTTGTGATGGGACTCTCTGCAGGATGAACGTTGAGATGTATAAGGGGCACGGGGTGACCAATAAGATCTGACTTGGTCTGTGATAAGGTAGGGGCACTGATAAGGGGTTGACAGCTGATGCAACAGCGTCACCGGTGACGATTATTTCAACAGGTCCTGGGCCTCCCCTAGGTCGACTCGGCCTCAAACGATTACCTGGCGCGCGGTGCGCAGTAAACATCGCCGCGAGCGAGACAAAGGCGGCCGGGCGTGGTGTTGCCCCCCGCCCCACCACCTCGCGTGACGCGACAGCACTTACCCCAGACAGTCTGTGAAGGCTATACGGGGCAGCTTTGTCACCCTATGCCTTTGCATTGCGCGTGTGTGTGCGTGTTGTAATTACCTGTTAGCATGAGGTGTTAAGTGGTTGCCGGGAAACTAATGATGCAGTAATGCACACTGCATGTTAAACCCTGCGCATTGCAGCCTCGCTCGCCCGCCGTAGATATTTAAACATTCCCAGGCCTCGAGTTTAATGCCTTTTTATTTATTCTGCACACCAAACACAAAGGTCCCCCGTGTAGCCTCGACAGCCTGTTGGGGGAGAGTGCTGTTAACGAGTTAGCACCTACTCGGGTGGCTGGGTGGGTGGCCAGCGCCACGCCTAGCCGCCTTTGTCTCCCTCGTGGCGGTGACGTCACCACAGCGCGTGTGCCAGGCTATGTGCACGTTAAGGCCACGTGAAGTGTCTCACACCCACTGGCAGGAGGTCACGGGACAGACCCAGTTGCCATGGGTCGACTGAGATGACTGGCAGATGCACAACCTGTGCCACCTACTGCGCCCACTCGCTGTGTTTATCCACCCGGCGCTCCGCTCGTTGTTGTGAGCGTCGCTCCCCTCTGCCCCCCGTTGTTGCTGGAGGGCGACTGGCTCCAACTGCCCAGTAGCGTCTTTCACGAGCCTCTCCATGCACAAAGATCTCCCGTATAGCCTCAACAGACTGTAGGGGCAAGTGCTGTTAGCGAACACCTATGAAGGCCGCAACGGCACACGAGGGGGTGGGTGGCCAGCACCACGCCCGACCGCCTTTGTCTCCCTAGTGGCGATGTTTACACATCGCACCAGGTACTCATTTGAGGCTGAGTCGACCTAGGGGAGGCCCAGGACCGGTTCAGATAATCGTCACTGGCGTTGGCCGTGAGCGGGAATCGAACCCGGGTCACCGGGTTCATAGCGCAGCGTAGCGCTAACCGCTGTACCACCGCTCCCCACAGTTCATGTCGTTTTGCCATTCCTCCTCCTCTGATGAAGGATCGTAGACCTGGCCACAGTGGGTTTACTGTGCGGTCCTTAGTGTGGACTGTGTATCTCTGTGGGCCTCTGTGTATCTCTTTGTGTCTCTATGGGTTGACTGTGCGTTCCATAGCTTGGGTTGTATGGCCACTGTAACTCGTGTCTCTTTGGTGTATCTCCGTATTTCTCCATGGGACCCTATGTATCTCTCTGTGTATCTGTATGTCTACGCATCTCTTTGAGTCTCTCTAGTGTGCGTCCTCTATGGGTTTATTGTACAGTCCACAGTTGCCGTTATATGGCCACAGTCGTGCCACTGTGGCTTGTGGCTTTAATGCATCTCTATGGGTCTCGATGTATCTCTATGGGTCTCCGCGTTTCTTTATGGGTTTTTGCTGTTTGGTCCATTGTTTGGTTTTCATGGCCACAATCGCACTCCTGTGGCCCGTGGCTTCAATTTGCCCTGAGCGGAATAAGTAAATTTTAACAAAAGTAAATAAATAACTGCGGTTTTGTTATTTGCGATAATATCTCATACATACTTAGGCCCTTAGCTCCTGCGGCAGAATCAGCAGCCAGGCTCATGAAGGGTGGTCACCCGTCCAAGCGCGATCCAGGCTTGTTTTTACCTGCTTAGCTTTCTGAGATCTGCTGATATCGGGTGGAGTCAGGGTGACTTTTTGCAATAGGTTTGAATATATATGACTACAACGTACAGTTTGTATGTACAGTAAGGTCTCAGAGTACATGGGCTCAGAGTGCACGGACCCGCTCATACGCAACCGACCCCGATTCATCCTTACACTTTTTGTGACTCGTACTTCGCTACACGCACGGGGCGGGAAGCGAGTTCCAATCACCCCCCGCCATCACACAAATGATGGATTTGACGGCGTGTAACTATCGCCCGTGCAAGAAACGAGTAAAAAATCTCTCGTGTTCTCTCCGACCTGGATGCTACCGATGATTAGTGAATCATTGACTATACAGTACTGTACTTTATTGAGTATTCATGTACATTTATCTACATTTTATATACACTCTAACATTTTACATACACACTCGAATAGGCGAACCCCAACTTACGCGAATCCATGCTCACGCGGGGGTACACGGAAGCTAACCCCCGCCGCATACTCTGAGACCTGACTGTATGTAATTGTACGCCTTAAAGATGCTGCACCATTGGCTGTTGCAGTGGTCAACAGCGCCACCAGACTTGGCAATCCAGAGGTCGCCGGTAAGGCCCACTGAGCTACGTAGCGCGGGGCCCTTGAAAGTGCGGGACCCGTAGCTACTACTGGTCGCGTGGAATTACTCTCTCAAATTATAGCTCAACAAAGTGGCTCGTCATCGTGTGAAAATGTACAGCAGCAGCGAAATACTCTGAATGCACGTTCATTCTAAATGCGGAGGGGGAAACTGGAAGATCTGGAGAAAAAATCCACGCGACCACAGGGAGAGCAACATGCAAACGCCAAATATACAACAGGCGTCAGGGTCAGGATCGAACCAACGACATCCTGCATACCAGGCGAGAGAGTTAACATCTCTCCACTGCACCACCCATACCATGTGTCGCGCGTATGCAATTACGTATGCTAACCATTTGCTTCTCTGTGTACACACATGCACACATATGCGTGTGCTGATGCAGATTTCACAACCACCGTGGCTTCTTGTACTTGGACTCCCGTACCGGCGGCGCCACCCCTTCTCCACGTCCTCGTCATCTGCGCCGTTGCCCCCGCTAGGCCCCGCTAGCCCCGCCGCCCTCTACGGCGGAGGGCGGTAGCGGGCGGGATGTCGCGCCCCGCGATGCGTGTGGCGCTCTGCGTCTTCGCCGGAGTCGCCATCATCGCCTCCTCCGCTGCCGCCACCGCCACCGCCTCCTTCCCCGATGACGCGACGCCCATCAACATCGTTGACGCCAAATGTGAGTATTCGCAACGTGTAGAGACGCGGCGACCGAAGCCTTGCGTAGGCCGAGAGACACATCGATGCCTTGCGTAGCCCGAGATAGATGGCAAAGCCTTGCGTAGGCTGAGTGACACGATGAAGCCCTACTTAGGCTGATAGACGCAACAAAGCCTTACATAGGCCGAGAGACACGACGTAGCCTTGAGTAGGCCAAAAGAGACGACAAAGCCGTATGTAGGCCAAGAGACACGACAAAGCCTTACATAGGCTGAGAGACACAGTGAAGAGGTGTGTAGGCTAAGAGACACGACGGAAGGTTCCCATTTTGCGAGAGACACGAAAAGCCTCACGTAGGCCGAGAGAAACGACGAAGCCTTGTGTAGGCTGACTAGCGGATAGGTCCATAGCGAGTAGACTGAGTCAGTTTTTCACCTGGTGCTCAAGATTCACCGTCGATGTCGTTTGGGTTGGGCCATGTAACGATTCGGACAAATTTGTGTCGTGAGACCCTCCACCACCTCACACGGCCAAAAAAATAAAATAGTCTACATGTACAAGAGTTGAATGGCGACACGCAAGGTAATTTAGTGTTTCAACCCAGTCACCGGTGAGTTGAAGATGGTAACAACCAAAATTTAGCATTTGTTAAATAACCTCCACAAAAATCAACGGCTGATAAAAGTCACTTGAAGGCCCTTGAATGAGAGTCACTGGCAGAAGTTCTGTGATATCTCCTTCCACGGACCATTCCCTGCCGAGAACATCTGGCAGCTCACCAGCATTGATTCAAGTGAGCCTGACTCTGCTGATGAGGCACTCTGCATCGAACCGGTCCTGAGTTTTCCTTGCTTATACTGAATCAATGCTGCTAAAATGACACACTCCCAGAAGGCCATGAGTTGTGTGAAAAGTACTTTTCCTTTCTCCTTGGAGAGACCGATACATGGAGATGATGTATCATCTGTTTTGCTACTTGCTCCGCAAAGACCCACAATAAATGATTCTGTGTTCTCTGGCAATGAACGCATGCCAATGGGTCGATGTTGTGTGAGAATTCCAAATGGATCCTTCATCTCATGGCGTGATGCCGATGGCACAAATTGTAATGAAAAATCTCGGGCAAAACACCGAAGTGTTAGTTGCTAATTTTGCATATTTTACAATGGCAAACATCTGGAACATAAACGCACAGCATCAATCTGGCAGTTTGTGAATATACCCCCCCGTGCATTATTTGCTTTCATCTTGGGCAAATAACCGTCGGCTGAAATCTTCACGAATTGTTTATCCAGCCGCGCCCTGCTCTTGGCTTTCCCCGTACGTGGGGTAATCGCGATGCCATTTATTCAGAATCTCACGCTCGGCCAAGCGTAGTTTGGACGACAAGGCATCGCACGGCTCTTAGGTTCCGCAGCCCGTATGAAGTGACTGAGATCAACCCCTATCTACGATTAGCGCGGTGGCCTGCGCACGGTGCGAATGAAACTCAACATACACAGATACGTTATCGCAGAGCGGAGGTGGGTGGGGGCGGGAGGTGGGGGCGAAAAATCCAGACGGCCGATCTTGCGTTGGGTTCCATTCCCTCGTGAACGCCGGGCAGCAAGCGTCACGGTCCGGCCCGGGCAGTGGTTAGCGCCGGGGGTCTGCAACCAAAATAACAAGAAGAGCCGTTGTTTTTTTTTTTCGATTCGTTAGAATAACTTCAATATTTCAAAAGCCGCAAAGCAAGTGGTGAATATGAGATGGCGGTCCTTGATAAATGATGGTCACGAAACGGTCCTGGATGAGCCCGCGTGCGGCTTCGGAGCCGCAGGTTGGCAATCCTTGAGTTACAAATCACGAACTTTGAACCAGGTGCACTTAGACAATTCTATTCCCTTTGCCCCCTTCCCCAACTGCTACTGACCAGCGTGGTGAAGTATGGTCATACCACACCCCCCCCCCCCCCCCCCGCATGACCTGTGGGAGAGGCCCCCAATCCAGCAGCGGGTTGACATGGTTGGAAATTAAATCGAGCCATCAACACTCTTTGGTTCTTTCGGTAAAGTCACGTAGGTGAAAAATAATAATAATCAATAAAAAATAAACTCACGACGTTTTGGGTGCAACACAAGCGCCCGGAACGTCGTGAGTTTATTTTTTATTAATTATATTAATTTTTATGGTTTTATTTTTCTACCTACGTGACTTCACCGAAAGAATCAAAGAGTATGGATTCTTGCAGTCACGAAAACTTCAAATCTAGAACAAGCCATCAACGGCAGTAGTCGACCTAGGGAAGGGTCAACACTGTTGTGAGCACCAGGTGCTGGTATTTGAACATCAGCGTGGGGCGACAAAGGCGGCGGTGCTGGCCACCCACCCACCCACCCACTGTGTGGCACGGTGGCGAGATGTTCACGCCCTCGCCTGGTATGCAGGAGGTCTTGGGTTCCATCTCGACCCTGACGCCTGCATATTCGGAGTCTGCGTGTCTATCTCTCAATCTCCCCGTGGTCGCTTGCATTTTTCTCCCGGTCCTCCGGTTCTTCCCCTCCACATTTAGAATCAACATTTTTTTTGAGTATTTGGCTGCTATATATTTCCACACGATGATGAGCCACTTCGTTGAGCTGTTATTTGCGATGGACAGGTCGCTTCTGAAAAATAGCTACATAGCTCAGCGGGCCTAACCTGGTAACATAAAAATATCTCATCATGGGACCTCCTTTGCCAGTACCAAAATATACTAATAGGGTTTTCCCCCTTTTTTCTGGCAACAAAACTGACACCTTTTGCAAGGAATCATGCTTACATTAACCACAATACTTGCAGTCAAATGCAAACAAAAAACAATACTCTGATAATTTATGCATTGTCTTTGAAACTGATTGGTCCACACCCGAGACAGCTTTCTTTAGAGCCTCGTCTCATATGGTGTTCGACCAGATGACGCCAAAAGGCGCACAGTTCAAAAACAACGCACTATCAGAGTAATGAGAGCTCGGGGTGAGCAGCTACATCATGGGACCTCCTTTGCCAGTCCCAAAATATACTAATAGGGTTTTTCCCCTTTTTTCTGGCAACAAAACTGACACCTTTTGCAAGGAATCATGCTTACATTAACCACAATACTTGCAGTCAAATGCATTGTTTGCATTTGAAAAAAATGGGAAAACCCTATTAGTATTAACATAAAAATAGTTTCGTTTATAGTTTAGTGTGCTGTGTCGGCACAGAGCCCCTTCCTGACAGTTTTCAGCAGCCGTTGTGCTCAGTCAACACGCAGGGTGAGCTCTCACAGTCCCCGCGGGCATCGCCACATGTGGCTGGCTTTACCTGGCCCCCCTTTTTACGCAGGTAACACATCAATCCTCTGCTGGAAGAAGATAAAGATCTCCCTTACACAAGTCGTGTCTGTCATCGGGGGTTGCATTTTCGTACTCCGCCATACCGATGAGCACTTTTTAGATGACTCCGCCTATTATGTGGTCAACATGTCCTTTCGAGGACCTCTCTCACAGCCTCATCATCATTATCACAAGCATCTGGCTATAGCTCTTCCCCTTGATACTCTACCCCTGTGTGACACTCCCATGCCCGGCTCAGTTACCTGGCCTCCTCCTCCACCATGCACACCACGTGTCCCACTCATTATCAACAACCTCTTCTTCGTGTTTTAGAACGGCCCACGGATGCAGATATTACAGAGCTACCTCTGAGATCCCTGTATCTTCAAGTGACGCTCTGGTCCACACAGAACTACCTACGGAAGTTGATTACACAGAACTACCTCTGAGATCTTCTTAAAGTGACGCTCTGGTCCACACAGTAGCGAGCAGAACTTTTTCACCCACCCCAACCTGCCCCAGAGAGTGACGTTCATCGCATAACAGTCACTAAATACTCTTTTTTTTATTCTCATGATTTGGAATGGTGGTGTTTAGTTGTTGTTGTTGTTGTATGTGCAGTCATTAACCCCTCGCTGTACGCGAGAACCCCAGCTGAAGTGCAGGCCGTCGCTGAAACCTTGGCATCGAACCCAGGGTCTCAGAGCTGCCGGCTCATCGCTCTGACCTCTGTCCTCTGAGCCAACGGGCCTCCATCCCAGAGGCTTTCTTGTCTGTTCGCCAGGTTAAAGTTCAGCTCTCTGACTCACAGGGGTGGCTATCTCTTATCGCTAGAAGGTGCCATTTGACGCCAAGACTTTGTTTTTATCACGTTACATTTTATCTCCATGGCCGGCGCTTTCGCGACTTTGGCTTTCTCCCCGCTCAATTTAGCCCGCGGTGGCTGGGACATAATCCACCGTCTGTACGTCTGCGTATGTTGAACTTTTTCACCGTGTTAATCGGAGGTGCGGGGGAAAGACAACAAAGTGAACACAAAAAAAGAAATTATAAAGAAATGGATTTGTCAATGTATACGATGATCATTTAAAAGTGCATAGCTCCCGGTGGATTCATAATATCATCAGAAAGAGCGTTCCAGACGGCCGGAGAAGCGCATCTGAACGTGCACGATGCGGTAACCATTTCTGTTCGATGGCTAGGTTAAAAGCCGCTGCTGCTGCGAGGATGAGCGGAGTTTGCTTGATGATGGTTAATGTTCCTTGACGAGTTCAGCGAGGTATAGTGGTTCACTTGTGAGATCTTCCGTAAAAAAAAAGAAAAAACATGCACATTCCTCTGGAGGGGAACCAGGCTCTCCTTGTAAAAGCACCAGCTGCAATACATCAATAATAACGCTACGTAATAATCTCCTACACTAACAAGCAATCGAGGAATAAGATCACATGTCGCCATTTGTAAATCAGCAATCCACCACATCAACCCTGAATGCGTCCAACGTTGGTCAGATCTCGGAAAGCTGAGTGGGGGCTCGGCGGATAGGGTTTGTCTGCGAGGAAGCCCTCATCCAGCAGTGGATTGACCGCGGGGCTTTACCTGTGCATGCGAGTGGGGTGGGCTGCGTGTGCATGTCTGTCGTGGCGGGGGCAGCAGTGGGGCAGGGATCAGCTCGCCCTGCGCCGCCGCGAGTTGAACTCCCCCGCTCGCGGCCAATAACGGCGGCAAATATCGAGGACCGGTCCTGGGCCTCCCCTAGGTCGACTCAGCCTCAAGTTCCTAACTGGTGCGATGCGTATGATGATCGCCACCGGGGTGACAAAGGCGGCCGGGCGCGGGATGTTTTGCCACCAACCCCCTCGTGTGCCTTGCCAGCCTACTTACCGGCAGCACTTGCCCCAACGGTCGGTAAGGGCTACGCGGGGGACCTTTATCTCGTTTTGTGCACGTGCACGCAAGCCCCCCCCCCCCCCCCCCCGTGTTTCTCCATGTACCGCCCGCCGCGCACAGATGTCGAGCGAGCTCCCGTGGGGGTCTCATTTCGATTAGCAGAGCTCAGGCTCGTCAACTCGGCCTCTAGACGTGTAAAACGTCAACAGTGGGGAGACAAAGGCGGCCGGGCGTGGTGGGTGTTGACCACTGCTGCCCCCCCCCCCCGCCCCACCGAGACTACCACGTCGGCTTTCCCAGGTGCTGCTACTCGCTAACAGCACTCAGCCCAAGGGTCTGCTGGAGGCTCTACGGGTCGGGCGGGCGGGCGGGGTGAGAGATCTTCGCGTGCCGTGTAACGGGAGCTACATTAGTGGCGTTCGCATTGATCGCTCACCTCTCCGACGCGTTTCATATATCCGAATTAGGGTTCGTTACTTCGTTATCCTCCCCCCCCCCTCTGTGGACGGCGTGCGAGTTAGTGGCAGGATGGGGGGTGCGCGACTTGGAGGTTGGGAATAGAAGGAGAGGCGGTATCGTGATGGGTGGGACACGTGGTGTGCAGGGTGGAGTAGGAGGATGGGGGTTAAGCGACTTGGAGGTTGGGAATAGGAAGAGGAGGAGGTACAGTGAAGATGGGTGGGACACATGAACTGGAGGGAGGAGGAGGCCAAGTCACCGATACGAGCGTGGGAGTGGCACCCAGAGGTTGTCCACCAAGGGGAAGAGCTAATAGATGTGGTTGTTGACGATGATGATGGCTGTACGAGCAGTCCTTGAAGGACGTGTTGGCTGTGTAACAAGGGGAACACGTAAAGCCGGATAGTGGTCGTGGTGGTGATTCCGTGAGATCGGACCTTGGAGGTCAGTGGTGAACTTGAACTCTGCAGAACTTGAGAGGCTATCAGGACGAAGGAAGCGATTGTGTTGATGATAATATCTTAACCTTGGCTTGTGTCTCCCCCGTGTCTACCCAATGTCTCCCCGTGTCTACCCAATGTCTCCCCGTGTCTACCCAATGTCTCCCCGTGTCTCCCCCGTGTCTCCCCGTGTCTCCCCCGCGTCTCCCCCGTGTCTCCCCGTGTCTCCCCCACGTCTCCTCCGTTGTCTCCCCTGCGTCTCCCCCGTGTCTCCCCCGTGTCTCCCCCGCGTCTCCCCGTGTCTCCTCCGTTGTCTCCCCCGTGTCTCCCCGTGTCTCCTCCGTTGTCTCCCCCGTGTCTCCCCCGCGTCTCCCCGGCGGCCTGCAGACACGAGCCAGTACCCCGTGTTCCTGGGCCCCAGACCAAAGAACGAGACGCGGCGACACAAGCTCAGCTTCCAGATGATGGTGATTACCAACTCCACCCTCTTCATCGCCGCCAGGTAGGTCGACGCGATCACCGCCACTACACCCCCCCCCCCCCCCCGCAACACACTTTGCATTTCCTCCCATCAAAGTTGACACCACCGTGTCCGTTGGGGACGGGGCAGCAGCTGTGGCAGCTGTCTCCCTTCCACCGGCGAGAGCAGCAATCCTGAGGAAAAACTCGGGACAGGTGGCAAGCATACTCCCCAGGCCCTCCCTACCCCCCACCGAGCCTGATGGCCAACCCGAGAAGGTGCACCTTGGCTGGGCAGGAATCTAGGCGAGGTTGGGCGGGGGTGGGGGGTGTAGCGTTGTTGGCCAGTAAGAAAGGAATTCTGTGTAAACGTTGTTTTCTAATACAGAGGGCTTCTCGCGCCTTGCCCTTCGCGCCCACTATATCCCCCCCCCCTCCCCCAATGTGTGCAGACACTACTGGCTTGTACCTCAAAGTTCATGAGACATTTTTTTTTTATTTCGCCCTCCAACCATGGCCGCATCTAGCACAACTCTAAATAAATGCTCATGAAATGTAAAATTACGTATTTCGTGATAATGGATGAAACGATCATTGATGAAACAATAATTATATTGATCATAGTGGTTTCGGAAGGCTCTTGTAGTTTCATTGACGGGCAAACTGACAAATGGAATGCCGGGATGTCATAATAGATATGGCGGTGCTTGTGTAGGCCTCTATCCAACAGTGTATTGAACATGACGGCTGACGACGGTGAGATGGTGGATGCACGGGTGGGTTGTGTGTTAGTCTTTCAGGGACTGACTCCTGCCATAAGACTGTTCACCAATACCAGGGCTGGACGGGTGGGAAGTGCTGCCCACTGATGTGTGGACCAGAGGCCCCAGCAGTAGCTCTGTGATATCCGCTTCCTCGGGCTGTTCAGCGTGTGAATCAGAGAGTCACTTGCAGTAGAAGAGATCTCAGAGGTAATTCTGTGATATCCGCTTCTTCGGGCTGTTCAGCGTGTGAATCAGAGCATCACTTGCAGTAGAAGGGATCTCAGAGATAATTCTGTGATATCCGCTTCCTCGGGCTGTTCAGCGTGTGAATAAGAGAGTCACTTGCAGTAGAAGAGATCTCAGAGGTAATTCTGTGATATCCGCTTCTTCGGGCTGTTCAGCGTGTGAATCAGAGCATCACTTGCAGTAGAAGGGATCTCAGAGATAATTCTGTGATATCCGCTTCCGCGGGCTGTTCTGCGTGTGAACCAGAGCATCACTTGCAGTAGAAGGGATCTCAGAGATAATTCTGTGATATCCGCTTCCGCGGGCTGTTCTGCGTGTGAATCAGAGCATCACTTGCAGTAGAAGGGATCTCAGAGATAATTCTGTGATATCCGCTTCCGCGGGCTGTTCTGCGTGTGAACCAGAGCATCACTTGCAGTAGAAGAGATCTCAGAGGTAATCCTGTGATATCCGCTTCCTCGGGCCGTTCTGCGTGTGAACCAGAGCGTCACTTGCAGTAGAAGAGATCTCAGAGGTAATTCTGTGATATCCGCTTCCGCGGGCTGTTCTGCGTGTGAACCAGAGCATCACTTGCAGTAGAAGAGATCTCAGAGATAATTCTGTGATATCCGCTTCCTCGGGCCGTTCTGCGTGTGAACCAGAGCGTCACTTGCAGTAGAAGAGATCTCAGAGGTAATTCTGTGATATCCGCTTCCGCGGGCTGTTCTGCGTGTGAATCAGAGCATCACTTGCAGTAGAAGGGATCTCAGAGGTAATTCTGTGATATCCGCTTCCTCGGGCTGTTCTGCGTGTGAACCAGAGCGTCACTTGCAGTAGAAGGGATCTCAGAGGTAATTCTGTGATATCCGCTTCCGCGGGCTGTTCTGCGTGTGAACCAGAGCGTCACTTGCAGTAGAAGAGATCTCAGAGGTAATTCTGTGATATCCGCTTCCTCGGGCTGTTCTGCGTGTGAACCAGAGCGTCACTTGCAGTAGAAGGGATCTCAGAGGTAATTCTGTGATATCCGCTTTGACGGGCCCTCCTCTAACATCAAGCATGGGCTCCGCAACTGGTCTGGGAGATTTCCGAACGGCTCCTTCATCTCGTGACGCCGCGGCGAACATGAATTTCCAAACGTGGAACTTCCACCGGATTCTCAGTGGTGAGCACAAAGACAAAGATCCCCCGTGTCGCCTGGAACACGGCCGGTCATTTGGTAGCTTTTGCGAGCAAGAAGATGACCACAAAGCGGATGGTTGCGCTGCCCTTTGCTGCTCATATCTGGTGGCTAGGAGATGTTAATTACCTCGCCTGGTGTACAGGAGTTAAGGGTTCGATCCCGACCCTGATGATGCCTGTATATTTGGAGTTTGCATGTTCTCTCTCTCTCTCTCGCCCGTGGTCGTGTGGATTTTTCTTCCGATCCTCCGGTTTTTCCCCTCCACATTTAGAATCAGCATCACGCGTTTACAGTATTTGGCTCCTATAAATGTGCACGTGATAAGCCACTTGGTTGAGCTATCATTTGTGACCAATTCGCTTCTGTAAAAGAGCTACATAGCTCAGTGGGCCTTACCTGGTAAAAAAAAATGTTTTCCAGTTGTTGGTACTCCGCTTGTGCCGCTGCGGGTCGTTTCCGCACGATGTCCGACGTTTTGGCGCCGCGTGCCTCTGAGGAACGGGACGTAAGAGGGGCTGTGATGATGTTTATTTCGCTGGGGTAGCACGATGCCAAATCGTAAGTCTGAAACGTGAAACTCCGGCCCATGGAAATGAAAATATAGTTTGCCCGCATAGATATTGCTCATCGTAAATCTCCGTATGCAAATTGTGGGGGGAGGGGGGAGGTGAGTGTAAAAGTCTTCCCTGTAAACAACGGGAGAGTGAATCGAAATTGTTCCCTGTTCTCGCCCCATTTCATAAACAACCCCCGTTATTCAAATTGACCGCTTGCGTGAAGGCTGGTTTAGTGAGGGCCCTGTTAACCGACGCACGCACACAGCCCGTGCCGGCAAGGCAGTCGCCGGTGCAAGTGCCGATGAAGAAAGTCGACGCGGCACACGAGGGGTGGGTGGGTGGACAGCACCACGCCCGGCCGCCTTTGTCTCCCCAGTGGCGATGTTTTTTTTTATCCTGGTACTACTACTACACACACGCAAATCCGCGCAGGTGAAGCGATTGCAGATCTGAGCCTTGAAGCGGTGGAGCGTGCACATTCGAGATCCCAATCGAGTGTTTGGGGTGCACCGTGTGAGCACGCAGGGATGGTGTGAGCCCGCGTGTGTCTGTGTGTGTGTCTGTGTGTTATTGTAGAGTGTCTGTCTGTGTGTGTCTGTCTGTGTGTGTTATTGTAGAGTGTATGTGTGTCTGTGTGTTGTTGTAGTGTGTCTGTGTGTTATTGTAAAGTGTATGTGTGTGTGTCTCTGTCTGTCTGTGTTATTGTAGTGTGTCTGTACGCACTGCGCTATGAACCTGGCGACCCGGGTTCGATTCACGCTCACGACCAACGCCAGTGACGATTATCTGAACCTGTCGTGGGCCTCCCCTAGGTCGACTCAGCCTAAAATGAGTACCTGGTGCGGTGTGTAAACATCGTTACTGGGGAGACAAAGGCGGCCGGTCGTGGTGTTGACCACCCCCCCTCCACTCGTGTGCTGTGTTGGCCTTCATAGATTGCTGCTCGCTAACAGCACTTGCCCCAACAGTCTGTTAAAGTTGGACTGGGGATCTTTGTCCTTGTTTTGTGTTTAAACATTCCAGATCCCAAGCGAGGTGATGCAGCGATGGTGGACCCGCGTGTGTGTTTTTGTGCGCGCGTGTGTGTGTCTGCGACCACGGGGAGAGAGAGAGAGAGACCTAAACTCCACATGTACAGGGTCAGCTGATTCGACCTCGTGGAGACCCTGGACGGGTTGAAATATCGCTTACTGATGTTGGTCGTGCCACGGATGAGAGTGGTGCTGGAACGGCGTTAGAGCTTCCGGCGTTACTGCAGCAGCAAAAAAAAAACACCACCACGGGGGCCGTTCGAGAATGTAAAAGAATGCATTGGAGTTTAAGACTCCACATGATTGTCCTTTACCCCACCAACCCACCCACCCACATCTCCTCCCCACCCACCCACCCACATCTCCTCCCCACTGCTCACACCCCCTTTGGGGTTAAGTGTCAGGAATTGCATGGGCCCTGATTTAAAGGTTAGCTCAATTGATGCCGGGGATGTGAGGAATGGGCAGTGGCAACCATAGCAGCGGGGACGGAGAGAACGGGAAGAGCTACGGCCGTCTGGAGGCTGTTGTAATGCATGAGCAAACACAAGCGCCATTTAACTCATTAGGTGCTATTTGCTCTCCCTGTGTGGCCTTGCTGTGTGTCAGTGTCTGTGTGTGAGTGTGTGTGGGGAGCGGTAGTGTAGCGGTTAGCGCTACGCTGCGCTACGAACTTGGCAACCCGGGTTCGATTCCCGCTGATGGCAAAAACACCTAGTGACGATTATCTGAACCGGTGCTGGGCCTCCCCTGGGTCGACTCAGCCTCAAATTAGTACCTGGTGCGATGTGTAAACATCGTCACGAGGGAGACAAAGGCGGTCGGGCGTGGTGTTGGCCACCCACCCCCTCGCGTGTTGTGCCGGCCTTTATAGGTGCTCGCTAACAGCACTTGCCCTAACAGTCCGTTAAGGCTATACGGGGGATCTTTGTCTTTATGTGTGTGTGTGGGGAGCGGTAGTGTAGCGGTTAGCGCTACGCTGCGCTACGAACCTGGCGACCCGGGTTCGATTCCCGCTCACGGCCAACACCCAGTGACGATTATCCAGAACCGGTCCTGGACCTCCTCTATGTCGACTCAGCCTTAAAACTGCACTTGCCCCAACAGTCGGATAAAGGCTAAACCTGGGGGTGGGGGGTGGGAGTAACATTTGCTTGTATCTTTGCACGCGTGGGAAATACATTCGAGTGTTCTTTGGCATCTGTTAAATCAAACACGCTCCTATTAGGATCAGCACTCACGCAGCGGAGATCTTATATTATTTTTATTTTTAAACAACACCAGAG